GCCAGCACCACGACCAGAGCCTAGCACCGTGAGGTCATAGGGGGACGGATGCCCTGGGACACCAGCCGTTCGCAGAGGGGACGCTAAAGGTGAGGTTCGGCCTGGCCTCGAAGACCGAGTCACTTTCGGATCGTCCGAGAGGCGGAGAAGCATAAGAAACAACTCTGGTCGGACAGGCCTTCAAGGAGCCCAGCGGCGGGTGGATTAGAAGCCAAGGGCGTTTCGGGGAGCTGGGCGGGCTGTCCTCGGTCGAGAGGGACAGAGAATGCTCCAGCTCAGGCTGGGGACATGAAGACCACGCGTCCAGAACTTTGAGATACACGTGCGTTTGCTTCAGGCTCAGAGCAGAGCAGGTGGCTATGGGCGGGTGTGGGGTTTTGACACAGGAAGTCGCGGAGTCGGTGCTGCCCACCTTGGACGTGGGAGGGGACGATGGCCGGCATGGCCGCTGTCCCCCCAGTCCCCGGCTGTTCCCCCCACCCCTTCCCACATCCTGCGTCTCCGCGGCTGAGTCCTGCTGCTGCCGTGAGGGACCCAGGACGGCAGTGACGATTGTGTCACATAGCTGGAAAGCTTCGTCGGGACAAGCCCAGTCAAGCCCAGCCCCTCCGCTGTGATTGTGACACGATTTCCGGTGACCCTGGGTCTCATACCTTGCTTTTTAAAAAATGTTCTTTTAATTAATTAACTGGTGGATTGGTTTTTATTTTTTACTATTTTTTTTATCATCCCTTATTATTTTTAATCTTAAGGTCCTTGGTTCGTGGTTCATCATCATACCTTGGCTGATGATGTTCTCCTGTGAGATCTCTTTTTTATTTGGGAAAAAAAAACCACATAAAAAACAACAAACCGGTGAATGAATAGAGACGAATATAAGACTATTCGTCCCCTGGGTATTTCAAGGAATCCAAGTCCTGAATTTTTAATGTTTCCTCGTGTGTAATTTCTCATGGCTGTTGCCTTTCTCTGTTAATTGTGTCGTCCATATTCAGAATTTATTTGGGCCGGAGAGGATTTTAAAAGAAGTCATCATTTGCAGGTCTACGTAGGTGAAAGTATTTTCCCCTCTCGTTTTTCGTTTTATACGTGATTTGTTATGGGCATAATTTTTTTAATTTTCTTAGCGTAAGTATGCGCAATGGTCAGCAGCAAAACAGTGCCCACAGGCAAAGACCTGCCTGTTTTGCCACTTGTCATTCTGATCGAGCCTGGAGGGACATTCTGTGGTCCGTGACCGGTGCCGGGAGAGGACGCCCCGGGGCGCAAGAAATTCCGCAGAAACACGTAAACGCAACTCCAGGCGCTGTGCACTTTTCTAGAAAAAAGCCAAGCACTAGAGGAAGACGAAAAACGCATTTTTGGCATCTGAGATGAATGCGCTGCGGGGACTTTACGTGGTGTTTGCCTCGTCGCCCATGTAGACAAGGTTCGGATTCGGGTGTATTGTTTGTGAGTGGTTTCACCTGGTTGCCGAGGAGGAGGGTAGATGCGGAATTAAGTCATCTTCAGAGGGACAGTCATTTCAGCGTCGAGCGAATATGTGGTCCATAGGTTGAAATTTCTAGATCGAGGACCAAGTTTAGGGATTTTTATATTTTTAAGTATGTCACAGTGAGACATGCCTCTCCTTTAGTTGTGATTTGGAAAATCCCACTAGAGATTTAAAACACGTAATTAAGATTTCTACCCAGGGCCTCGCGTTACTTTCCAGCGTACGGTTGAGGTCAGAATGGGAGTTTCACGCGAGAATGTCCTCTCCGGGAAGTCCGGTGGGTCTGGGGACGGGGACGAGGGACGAGGGAGCCCGGGGCCACGGGACGCGCCACGGCCTTGGCGGGGACAGCTCCAGTCCCGCCCCCATCCTGAGCTCCAGACCCACCCGCGTCCCAGCTGGTCGCGATTCTGCGCGGGCCGGGTGCCCCTCGGGGCCCGGGCCACGGGCGTCATTGCTGCTTTTAAGGACCCTCCTCCCCGGAGCCGCTGGCATCCGGCCCCCACCCAGCGGGTGTCACCTTCCACCCATCCCCCTCGCCCAGGTCACCCCCATCAGCAGCCACGCCCTACTGATTTCAGCCTGGAGCCCTCAGAGATGCCCAGTGTCCCCACTCCACCCCCCCGCCCCCCGCAGCAGCGTCTAACTGGTCACCCCCATGTCCCTGTCTCACCACAGCCAACGCGGACCCAGCACCTGCGCTCGGCCCAGGTCCTGAAATTCCACCGCTCGGCCCCAGGTCCTGTCTCAGTCCTCTGGGGAAACAGGTCACGTTTCTCTTTCCCAGAGTCACACATGCTCCGAGGTCCCCCGTGACCCACAGAGCACAGTCCACGCTCGGAGCCTCTGTGCAGCCCGGCTGTGCCCGCCGTTTGCCACAGCCGAGTGCCCGTCTCGCTCCATTTCTAGTGGCCGCGGGAGCAGGGAGGTCGCCTGAGATGGTCCCAGTAACTTCGCACAGGTCACTGAAGACAATCTTCTGAGCCCCGCTACAGCCACCACGAGCTCCTGGCCAAGACAGAGTTACGGAGACTAGATTCAGTCTAGACTTAACTCCCCACCTGAAGCCACCAAACAGAAAATGACAGACAAATATGAGGGCGGCAAACATCAGGCCGGGAAGGAGCAGAGACCCCTGAGCTGAGGTCAGCAGACGAGGCGAGCCCTGCAGTGGCCCCAGCTGACTGCCTTGAGGGCGTCTCCGGGTCACGGTGCCAGGAAAGGGACCCACGAGGCTCCCCGCAGACTCCCCGAGTCTGGAGACAGAGCTGTGCTCACATGCAGCTCACGGGACATCGCGGAGCTTTCTCGAAGGATGCTGTAGGTTAGAACGCGTGGGCACAGGCAGACGCGAGCAGCCGTGGGCGTGCCACGGACGTCACGGCCCCTGGGGTGCACACCTGCACACACGTACACGCACACACGCACGCACATGCATACGCGCACACGCATGTGCACACACACCCGCACACACATACGTACACACACGCACACACACCCCCGCACATACGCACGCACACACATACGCGCACGCACACACCCACACACACGCACGTGTACATGCACACTCACAACATGCACGTACATGCTTACATGCACACACACATGTACATGTGTGCCTGCACAATGCTCATGCATATGCACACACGTGCATGCATGCGCGGTGCATGCAGCGTACACGCGCGTGCAAACGCGTGCACATGCAAATGTGCATTGTGTGCATGTGTGCGTGCACACGTACACACATGTGCGCACACACATGCAGATTTGTGTGCACGTGTGCGCTCACATGCATGCATGTACATGCACGTCCGTGCGTATGTGCATGCGTGCATGCAGACGTATGTAGGGCGTGCACACACGTGCGGGCAGACATACGCACATGCATGCGTGAGTGTTCCTCGCCCCTCGGGAGGATCTGTCCCCGCTTTGACTGGATCACTGAACTGACCTCAGCACCACAGCTTTTCTGGAGAGATACCCGTTTTTCCCCGTTTGTCCCCCGATTGTTCCCCATTTGTCCCCCGTTTGTCCCCCGTTTGTCCCCCGTTTTCCCCGGCAGCTTGCTTTCCTCTTACATGTGCGTAGCAGTGACATTCCACCGCCGGACTGGCGTCTTCGGTCGTTTCTGTGAATCGCGGGTGTTCTTCCCCGGCTCTGGCAGGGACCTGAGGGTGAATTCGCCACAGGAGGACGAGCCGCGCTTGGCCGGTCCAGAGCCCGTGCGCGGAGCCCTCGGCGGCGGAGCTCGGGGCGGGGACACATGCTCTCTGCGTCCTCACCTCATTCTCGTCGATGACGCTGGGAGTTCCAGCTCCTGCTACAGGCCAGGAAAAGCGGGGAGCAGAGGGAGCCGGGAGTCTGCGGCGGGGTGCGGGGTCCTCGTGGCGACGACCGGCGTTCGTCTCTGGGCCGTGACCAGCCATCTGGTCGGGGCGCGCCGTCGTTCCGCGAGGTGCCGGCATCGGGGGCCGGAGTCGGGGCGCACGGCGTCTCTCTGCGCTGTCCTCATGGCTGCACGTGCGTCTGCAGGTACCGCAGGGTAAACGGTGTAATCGAAAAGCGTAGTATTTTCCCAGATCCTTCCCAAGTTTCGAGCTCTGCTTCGTGGCCCCCTCTTACATGCTGGCCATGTCGAGGTTTTATTACGGAGCGACTGCCTAATAATTACCCGAATCACAAAGTGCATCGTTTAGTATCTGAGAGTGATTGATTGGATCGGCGCTGGAGAAGAATGAGCGAATGTGTCTCGAGTCCAGGCCACATTCTCTCGTTTTGTCTGTTTGTCTTGTTTTCACGCGTTGCATCGCTGGTTCGTTAGAAAAGGCTACAGCTCGGGATCGCTGACGGCGGAGGCGCACAGGGCAGGGTGTGAGAGCGGCCTGAGCGTCCAGCCCTCCAGCTGCCGCTGCCCCGCGTGTCCCCATGTCCACCGCCCCGGTGACGCTCCAGGCCCGTGCTTTCGGTTTTGGCGGAGGATTCAGGACTCGGGCGTGCAGAAGTCCGTTCCGATTATGACAGACGCTCGGAGTGAAGCTCCATGAGGCAGAGGCCGTCGCTCAGGCCGGCTCTGGACCTTGGCGGGTGCCGGGGTCGCCGTCTGCGTCCCCGCCGAGCGGCTGACACTGTCCTGCCTCTTGTCTTGCAGGACCTGCTCTTCAGCGTGTGCGCCCTCAACGTGCTGTCCACCATCGTGTGTGCCTTGGCCACGGCCATGTGCTGCATGCAGATGGTCTCCGCCGACGTCCTGCTCATGGTGAGTGGCCTCGGGGGGCCGGCCCGACCCCCTCCCCTGCCAGCCCGTTGGAAACCGGCGTGCGGGGGACACTTCTGGCTTCCACCAGAAGCCTTGGTGGCCCACGGCGCTGGAGGTCACGCCACGCTGCCCTCCGGTGACACAGAACGTGCTTAGCTGGCGTCACCGGAGCATTTGTTTTGGGTGTCGCTGGGGCTTCTCACTGACAGCCGGGCCCCCCCGGGGTGCCCCTCAGCGATTCGGTCAGCACAGTGGGGGAAGCGGGTGGCAGATGCGCTCCGACGCGGCGGCGGGGGCCCTGCCTCCGTCCCCTCTGTCCCCCCATCCTCCGTCACCCCCTCTGTCTCCCCCTCTCCGTCTGTCTCTCTGTCTCTCTGTCTCTCTGTCTCTCTGTCTCTCTGTGTCCCTGTCTCTCTGTGTCTCATGAAAGAAAAAGTCAGTTGTCCCTGTTTCGTTTGTTCTTCCTGACCCGCCCGGTGGCGACGTGTTCCTGAAGCGTGACGCAGGGCCGGGGGCACCGTCACCACGACATCGGACGTTCCCTGGCTCTGACCGTGGGCGGCGCACGGCCTCTCGCTTGCAGTCACGTCCCCACAGCTGTCACAGCGGGCTGGCCTTTGCCAGAGGTCACAGCCTTCCGAAGGCGTCTAATTAAGCGGTTACTCAGCAGTGGGGACTCGTGGCCTCGCTCGCCGAGGCCCCGTGCCGCTGACCTTGGCCTTGAGCGCCGTGGGGCCCTCCGCGCTCGGCGGCTCTCCCTGTCCATCCGTAAACATCACGCCAATTTGGCCAAACTAATGGAACCGAAGGGCTGTAAATGCTAAAAGCTTTCGTTCCCTGGAAATTGCTGAGCAGATGGGAATAAAGTCTGTGGCAGCCATCAGGGCGGACACAGTCGTGACAGCAGGGGACACTCTGTGCCCCGAGCTGGCCGTCTCTTCCCGCGTCAGCCACCCCGAGCAAGCGGGTGACCCCGGGCGCGTCCCTCTCCTCAGAAACGGACCTGGAGGGGCCCCCGTGAGCACTCAGTAAGTGCGACCTGTTTTGACTCGTACGTGGAGGGAATGTCAGTCTGTTACGGGGACACGGGGGCCAGCGGCTGTGCAGGTGACACGCAGCGGCCGCAGCTTCTCAGAGCCCCGGGTGGCTCTGCTGCCCGGGCATTGTCGGCGACTTTGCTTCCGGCCCCCGCTGGGAAGCGGGGACAGCAGATCCTGCTGGCCAGTCAGCCCCTTTGTACCGTGGGCTGGGAGCGGCGAGGCTCTGCTGTCCCCTCACGGAGGTGCCGCTGACCTGCCGAGCCGCCGTGCGGCCAGGGGGAGCCGGTGCTGTGTGACCCCAGCCCCCCCTGGGGACCGGGGCGTGACCTCGAGCATGTCACTGCCTGTTCGTCGCAGTCGCTCTGCTCTGATCCGACCGTCCATGTCCTGCTGTCGTCACGAGGCCCCGAGGGGTCGAGTCGGTGACACGTGTCAGCGGGCTCCGGAGTCGCACGGCCGGCTCTACCGCGTGGGTGGGAGGCCAGGCCCACCGGCCACGCAGTCCGCGTCCTCGGCCGCGTGCCGAGCCGCACACCGGGCCCGGCTTTTCTGCGGACGTGCTCGAGCAGCTCTTTGTAATTAAAAAAGTTTCCCTTTGGATCCCCAGCTTTACCGAGACGTGATTAACTCCCGTTTTCTTACTTCGCTTCATTAGACTCTTTAATTAAAGAAATAAGATCCGATGACTGAATCCAGGACCATAGAGAGAGGCTCAGAGGAGAGAGAAGCGTCTCCCGCCTGCGCCCATCCCCGGGGTGCCTCGCGTCTCCCTAGGGCTGTCTCGCTGCTCAGGTACCTGCCACCTTCCTCTCTCCCTCCATCGGCTCCTTCCTGTTCGCCCAGGCGGCCCGCGCCCCCGGGCCATGTACCCCGCGCCCCGGCCGCCCCCTCGCTCGCCTGCAGAGGGACGTCTGGGTGTCTGCGTTGCTCGGACACGGACGTGACGAATCGCTCGAGGCTTTTCCCGCGTTCGCTTTCTGGTTCTGCTGATGCCTCTGCGGCTGTCCCGGCCACGGCTCGTAGGACGTAGGACGCCGCCCGCCGCACGGCTCTCCTGGCACCTGCGGTTCCCACGTCTGCCCCCAGCAGTCGGGTTGTACACTTCCCAAGGGACAGTCGTGTCTGTCCCCAAGTGTCTTTCCCCAAGCCATTTATACCAGCGGTGTCTGGATTGTACGCACTGACTCGGGCACCATCGAAACCAACGAAACATGAGTGCAAAAGGATAATTATTCCCATTACAACAGAATCGAGTGCTTCGGAAAGATTCGGGGGGAGGGTCTCAAACAGTGCTGTCGATCGAGATGCGGGAGAGACAGCTGTGTGGGGCTGGGATTGAAAACCGAAAGTCACCTGGGGGGGTTGTGGACACGTGACCCAAGAGGACTTTCCTTCCGGTCTGGCTCTGCCCTAAAAACGCAGACTGGGACATTGGATGACGTCTCACGGGTGCGGTTCACGCGAGAAAGACCGCGGGACCCCGCAGAGCCACGGCCGAGGCCCCGGCCCGGCACGGACGGCACCCGTGACTCCTTCCCTGTTTCTGTGGGTCGGGATTTGGGGACAAATAACGGTTGTGGGAACTCATGTAACGCATGCGTGGACACAGGAGACGCAGCGTGTCGTCCGCCGTCAGAAGTTACAAAGGCGATTTCCTCGAAAGTCTGGAAATGGTGGCCAAAGACCATCTGATGATAAAATTCACTTTGCTGACGTTGTTTGGTGGAGGAAACCTTCACCCCCAAAGCGTCTGAAATCGCCCGTCTTTACTCTTACTTCTCAGGCGTGACCTGATTTTCCCGCTGAGCCATCACGCGCCCCCCTACGCCATCGGCATCTCTGGAGCGGGTTAGGCGGCTTCATTTGTCACCAGTGTCGTTCACGTTCACGGTTCCAGCCGTGTGCCTGGTCAAGCAGAAGTCCTTCAGAAGGGCAGAGAGAGCCCCGTGCCTTCCATGGACGGGGGGACGGTGGCCTTGCCCGCGGGGGTGCCGGCGGGCCAGGAGGGGTGCTGCCCCACCCCTGGGGGCCCCGGCCTCGCTCTGCACCACTGCAGTCCACCCGATGCCCATCCAGCCCCCTGTGAGACCAGCTCTCCGGTGACCCTCCTGGAGGTCTGGGTTCGACAGAAAAGCCGCTGGGTGGGAGCTGCCACGTGTCTGTCAGACAAGAACTGTGGGCATCTGACGAATCTCGAAAGCCGGTTACGTCAGACAATTGTAAAAATGACGCACAGGTGCCAGGAACATGTTTATTTTGACTTCAAATATGCAAATGAGCGTTTGCCCGCCGGTCTTCCCATCGGGGGCCACGACCTGCCCTTCGATGGGGGGTCCGCCTGGCGCCGGTGGCACTCCCGCTGAGCTTCCCGTCCCCCTACGCTGGACGGAGACGTCGCTGGCGTCTGAACGCAGGACCGTTCGGCGTTCGGTGGTTCTCCGCGCTGTGACAGCCTCCTTGCCAAGCCCGACTGGGCGGCAGTTCCTGCTTAGCTACGCTCATTTATAGTCTTTCCAGAACATTCTCTCGGTTCTCATAGACCGAGCGAGGTCTCCTGTCTGCGTTCGTGTTTCATTATGACTCACAGTCGTGGCTGAACTGGCCTGAGCAGGCGCAGGCTCGCCCGGGGGCGGGGGGCAGCGGGGACCCTGGGTCCGGAGCAGTGTCACCGCAGGGCCGGTGCGGAGGGGCCTCCGGCTCCTCTGTTGGGCTGGTGGCCCCGCGAAGCCCCGCTGGGTGTTGAGGAAGAGGGCCCTTCCCCTTCGTCTCTCAGTCCCTGTGGGGCATCTCGGAGGTGCTGCAGTGTGGTGGGGACAAGGGGGGTCCGCGTGAGTCCCCCCGTGAACCAGAGGGTGCAGGAGGTGGCGAGCAGGCCCGTCCTGAGCCTGGAGGAGGAGAGGCTGCTCAGAACGGCACGGTGCTCGGGGGGCTCCAGCCCGGGTCCCCTGCCCCCTGCGGCCGACCCCACCCCCCCACCCCCGTCCCTGGCAACTGCCCCGGGCACGACCTGGCGGTG